GTAGATCAAGTGCCAGCCGGGACACAGGGGCAGCCCCACAGGAATCCGGCCCTGGGCAGCCTTTTGCACTGCATTGTGGAGCACAAATGCATTAATCGCTGAACAAAGCCAGCTTAATTTCCCGCTCTACAAGCAAAAGCGGGAGCAAACTGGGGTGAAATTAAGGCATTCCTTGGGCAGCTCCCACCCCCTCACCCCGACTGCTGTATCTCGGTCTGCAAGGCCACTAATGCTACTTACATTATTACTGGATTATTTTGGTGTAATGAGCTTTGCCCTGCTCAGCTGTCCCTCTGCTCAGGGGTGTTGTGATGTGTAATACTTCCTGTGCGAGGCCACGAGGCGGGCAGCTGCCTGCTCAAAAACAAGCAGAGCCCTAGCAAAACAATGCATTAATGTTCCCAGAGCAAAATTCCAGCATGGGCCGGAGGTTAATCACAAATCAGGGAGCTTTCGGCTTAGTGCTGAACAAAGCCAGCAGGCGGGAGGGCGATGGTTCCCTAAGCCGGGTCCTGACCCATCTCCGTGGGTACAAATAGGAGTGACTGTATTGGTTTCATCTCTGCCAGCAGTGTAACGCAGCTATGAGCATCTCTTCCACCCTCAACTCCTCTTCCTCTGCCTTCCTTCCCATCAGACCTGCCAGCGCAGGGGCTTGGCGATGTGTTGCTATGGACACCAAGAAGTTTCCCCTAGAGACCAGAAGCCCGGAATAAGTGATGCTTGCATTTTCTGACATTGATTTTTTTTTTCCTTCCTCTTTTTTATTATTCATGTTTGTTTAAGTGTTGATTAATTCCCAGCCTTTCATCCCCTCTCCCTCCAGCTTTTCTGTCCGAGCTTTGTGGATTGCCGTGGCTGTGTCCCAGGGCTTGGCTTCTGCTTCGTTCTCGGCGAGGATGTGAGCGCAGGGTGTGTGGGAGGAAGTTTCAGTGTTGTAACTCTTGCTCTGCTGGAGACTCCTACAGAAGAGATGCCCCATTTATTCCAGGCTCAGGAGATCCTGTCGGGGTCAGGCCTGGGTCCCCACGGGCTGCTGCAGAGTTCATGGGCACTCGCCAGCCGCAGCCACCACAGGAGGTCCTGGAGCCCTTCTCCCCAAGGCTTGCACCTCCCTGCAAAACATGCCTGCAAAAACAGGGATGGGGACACCCTGCTCCCTTTACAGGTGTCCTTCATTGTATTTGGGACCTCAAGGTGATTTAGATCTAATTAGCATCTGCTGGTCTGAGCTCCAGGCCTGACTCCCATTTTATAGGACCTCTGTTGGCTCTGCAGTACCTTTTAGTACCTCAGGTACCTCTGTTGGCTTCTGAGAGCTCTTGGCCTGCAAGAGGACGATGAGGAGGGAAGTCCCAGCAACTCTTGGAAGTTCATGTCAAGGCTGGAGCCTGAGCTTTGCAGGGGTGTGGGAGGCACTCGCAGGAAAGCACCTCTGCTTTACCTGCAGCCCTCAGGTCAGACTTGGCAAGGCAGCCGGTCCCCAGCAGCTCCAGTCCCCACCAGCTCCAGTCCCGCAGGATTATGGCCCCAGGGCATGGAGCAGCAGTCAGGGAGGGTCAGCCTATTTTCCCAGTGGTAAGCAGTGCTGCACGTCCGTAGAGCATGTTTCTGGGCACTTGGTGTATCGATGGGATTTTACTGTGAGACAGTCTCAATGTCATTTTGACTTCTCTTTCTTTGCTTCTGAAGCCAATAATGGGCAGTTTCTGTTCCCCGTCACACGATCTGCCTGACGGTGAACGAGGAGCCTCTCTGATGAGTGATCTCCTCTGTCCTGTGCCCCTTTCTTCCTGCTCTGGAGGGAGTTCACATACCAGGTTTCAATCAGCCTCTTCTCTTGTTCCTGGGAATGCAGTTCAGCACTGGGTCAGAAGGTCTCTGGTCCATTGAAATCCTGCCCTTCGCTGCTTCAGTTGCCCAAATTGCAACTCCCTCTTTGAAATCTTACAGCAAACAAGTCCTTTGCTGCTTGGCCCCTGCCTGCAGCGGTTAGCGTGGTGTCAGGCAGCCCGGAGCTCCTGCGAGCAGCCGTGCACTTGCAGGTGGGGTGGAGAAAGGAGAAGCTGCTCTTTAAAGTGTTTTCTGTGTGTGTTTGGGGATTGTGCTGAGGCAGCAGGAAGACCCCCTGCTCCGTATGGTTCCTCTCCTGGAGCGTGGGGCAAGGCTGCAGAACATCAGCCCTTTGAGGTGGTCTGCAGAGCTGCTGGAGGGGGATGGAGAGTGGAGGTGAGTCCCAGGACTGTCTACAGCAGGAGGTTGGCTCTTGCCCATAGCTCTGAGGGGGCCATGTTGCCCTCCCCTCCCCTGCAGCCCCCGGCTCAGCGCAGAGCCTGCACGCGCCGCAGTGCCGCTCCGGAAGGAGCAGCGGGGCTGGGATGCTGCTCCTCGCTGAGGAGGTGAGAATCCCACCAGTGCCAAACACTCAATTGCTGTGATGTTTGAAAGCTCCTTGAAAAATGACTTCTTCATCCAGTTCCTAACCAAACAAGTGGAAGCTCCAAAAAACAACAGTTCCTTCCCGTGCTGCTGCCAAATCAGTGCTCGCTGGCGTGTTTCTGAGCGGGTCAGCAGCAAGCCAGGACTGCCCGAGGGCTGAGCAGAGCAGAGCTGGTGGGTAGCTGGTCCCTGCGTTGTCCTTCTGCACCTGCTTAGGAGATAGGAGAGCATGCAGGGAGCTCTGCATGGCTTTGAGGTGATGGTGTAGGTGACCTGGTTATCCGTGCAGGGACAGGGAGCAGTGCCCGGGCACTTGCACTGCACAGCACTTAGGACTGCAGACCTGTGAGCCAAATACGGGTAATGGCTCTTTTGTGGGGACAGGGAAATCCCAAATCCAGGACAGGGATGTGCACCTAGCTCAGAGTCACCAGGTGCTGGCACGGTCTCAGCTGTCCTTTGCACTTATCGATGGCCTGATGTCCGGCTGCTGTGTCACGGTCACCGGAGGGCTCTTCTGCAGCTGCCCAGCTGAGGTCAGTGCCATGATGCCTGGTTGTGTCCTGAATGCTAACAGACCCTTCCCCTCTCTCGCTTTTCCCTCCCTCCTTTCTGCCAGCAGTTCCCTATCAGCAAAACCCCTACACCCCCGGGAGCACCTCCACTGTCATCCAGTGCTACCGCTGCGGGGACACCTGCAAGGGAGAGGTGGTGCGCGTCCAGAGCAATCACTTCCATATCCGCTGCTTCACCTGCCAAGGTAGGACGGTGCCACCCGAAGAGCTGGTGGCCAGGTTGCCCCATGGCCCCGGGTGCAGTCTGGAAAGCAAAAAGCTGGGGACAGACCTACCTGGCCCACTGACGTGGTCACACACCCACGGGTGGCAGCTTCCTGCAGGGATGGCTGTGGCGTGGTGCAGGAAGGGAGGCAACAGCACGGAGCTGGCATGGTGCAGGCAATGCCCCTGCGTGATGCCAGAGCCGGCAGGCTGTGAACAGGGGTGGCCGAGACCTGGGCACCGTCACTACCCTCGAGCTGCCTGAATGCCAACAGCCCACGCTGCGCCAGTCCCAAACATACCCACGGCCCATCTGTGATCTCGGGGGGCCACCGCGTCCCTCAGCCGCCTGTCTGCCCCCAAATTGAGAGGAGGAGGAGGAGGAGGTGTCGCCAGCCTGGCTGAGAGGCAGCGAGACACCCAGAGCAGCTCCTGACGGGGCCGGGGGCGGGTGACGGATTGCTGCCACCCACACGTGGGATGCGACCAAGGTGGGATGCC